TATCTCTTGCAAGTGCTTTCATTTCTTTCGCAATTGGGTGGCATTGTCTTTCATTGTGAATTTGCACTTGGGAAATGACCAGGATCGTAACATATCTAAAAATTCAGCCGTCAGATTTTCCCGAAAAAGGTCTCAAAACGTTCGCCTCGTAACGTAAGATAAGCGATTGATTACATAATCGAGCAAAGAAGGAAAGAAAACTTATGCTCCGTGAGGTTTCAGTAAGCTAGAGCAATCAATGAATTCAATCTCACCGGGCCATCGTCAATTTTTAATTCCCATTAGCTAAGGGTTCAGTCTGACCCCGGCGTTGTCCGCGCAAAAACGCGCGGATCGGGAGATATTTCAAAAAGGCTAAATTCAAAAATGATCAAAATCAGAAACTAATAAAAAAAAGACTAATTAATCAAGTTAATTAGCCCTTGGCTAATTAACCTGTGCACCTCCGTTTGATAGGGGAAGGCCGTGGCCTTGGGGGTGCAGTCCCCTCCCCGGCAACGACGCCAAAGTTGTGAGGAAACCCGGGGAGGGGTTGCCTACTGTTCGCCGAAGCCAAGGGCTACAACGCCTGTCAGTCGCTGCGCCCGCTTTGGAGGTCCTCAGCGACCAGTAGGGAGATAGAGTTCGGACTGTCTGCCATGCGTCCCCTGTAGTAGGTTTAAATATTCTCTTTTGCACCTCGTCAAACAACCATTACTAAGCCAGGACAAAATGAACAGGGATGTTCCCTAAAGCTGATATCTGGCTCAACCCTGGAGGGTCTTATAATTTCTCTGATTTATTGGACAAAATATACAATTATTGCCCGTAGGCTTGTACTTAGAAGTTTGCTTGAGTGAAGGGCAATTAGTCAAAATGAAATATGCGGAMGCRCGCCAGCGGAAAATGGCAGATTATGCGAGTAAGAGTTAATAATAATTCAACACARACATTTGGGACATTACATCTCTTTGAATGCACTGTAYGAGTGCCCGCCAATAGACAGTGAATACCTGATTACCCTTTGAAAAGTCGATTTGCCWATGATAATTCTTGAGCTGCCATTGAACAGAKACTGCTTGATCAGTCAATGGGCAGCGAGTGATTGATATGTGAATGATCGTTTGATCAGTCAATAGGCAGGGAATGATTGATCTGCCAATGAACAGAAACTTCTTGATCAGCCAATAGGCAGAGAATGGTTGATCTGTGAATGACTGTTTGATCAGCCAATAGGCAAGGAATGATTGATCTGCCAATGAACAGATCCCGCGTGCCTCTCTCTCTCTCTCTCTCTGCTGCGCTGTCACTCTACCTCTCTCTCTCTCTTTCTGCTGCGCTGTCAATCTCCCCTCTCTCTCTCTCTGCTGCGCTGTCACTCTCCCTCTCTCTCTCTCTTTCTGCTGCGCTGTCAATCTCCCCTCTCTCTCTCTCTGCTGCGCTGTCACTCTCCCTCTCTCTCTCTCTCTCTTTCTGCTGCGCTGTCAATCTCCCCTCTCTCTCTCTCTGCTGCGCTGTCACTATCCCTCTCTCCGTCCTCACTCTTTCTCTCTCTCAGCCTGCCCTCTCTTTTACACGCTGCTCTCTTATTACTTCTCCCCCTTTTCACGTGCTTTCTCTCTCACTCCCTGTGTGCGCAGCATCTCCTTCGTCGCTACTCCCCCGTTTTGCTCTTCTGTTCACTCTATGCTTTACGGCGTATTCCCTGTGTCTCTCCCTTAGGCCCTTAGTTCGATCTCTCCCTCTCTGTATGCCCCCTGTCTCTCGCCCAACTCCGGTGCTCAATCTTTGGAAGCGGCAGCGAACTCATCCGCAAGTCCAGGTTTGAGAGGGCGTGAGCGAGCTGATTATCAGCTTCGCTTTCGGTCAACCCTGCGTATCCTTCAACARTCCCYCCCCTTCACGATTACCACAGGATCATTGTCAGAACCTAATTTTTGAAGAAATCAGCAGGATAAATTGAGTTGAATGAGTCCGCAAATAAACCTGATCRCAGTAGCRCAGAACGCGCAATGCTTAGTAACCCCGTGATCTGGCAGGCGGCTGTTCATCAGAATCTCGCCWCCTCCGAAATTCTTAGAGAATTACGGTTTGTCCAGCCAGGTGGGAATAGGCCCAAGAAAAGGGACGGGRTAAGGAAGAAAGGACGCAAGGACAGGAATAGGCCCAAGAAAMGGGACGGGATAAGGAAGGAAGGACGCAAGKACAGAAAAAGGAGTAGATAAGCTTGAGAGATAAAGTCTAGAGATGGTGATTAAGGCAAGGGATGAAACAGGAAATAACTAATTTGTACTCGTTACCACAGGGCGTCAGATGCTATTTTGTGAGTGGTCGGTGACCCRCGAGCGACTATTCCGAGCAYGCCGCTCAGGTGCTCGTCATGGAGAGTCTACTCRTCCGACCCTTCAGTAGTTGGCAGAACTTCTGATCTTGCGCAGTGCCTCTCACTCTTACTTGCTTTATGAGTAGCTCTGTATAGACCCATTCTCGCAGACCTTCCGTACGGACATGAGTAGTGGCCCAGCGCAGAAGCTCTGCCTGTTGTCACACTGTGGTCCGGGTTTGTCTGATACGGTTTCTCTCAAACCCACCTCTCCCAAGTAACTTCTGGACTGCAACCGGTCAGCCCCTGGAAGTGAGGGCGAACTGATGCGCCGCGTAATTCAAATTGTTTATCGTGTACGGCTCGCTGTTATGAGTTGGCACGTTCTAGCTCTAAGCTGCCCGATCTGCTTAATAGCGCACGCACACTGTTCGCTGTCTCCCACTCTCCAGCGGTTACCACACGTCTACTGCTATCTGCTCGTCACTCCTTTCGTGAGCGCGCCAACCCGACCAGCRCARGTAAGTGCAGGCGCCCCCCGCGTTCAACTGTTGCCCACTCGTCACTCCCTCACAAGAATGCGCCAGCTCGACCACTGCAGAAGTCAACAGAGCTGGGCGCTGAATGCGCCTTGTACATGGCGAATGACGTCCCTTCTCGACTCCGCTGCCATCCCCGTTGGCCAGTCGATCAGCAAGAGAGCTGCGGACACCTTGCACGCGTGCCCAGCTCGCCCCAGTCCGAATCCCAACCGAGCTGTCTGAATCCTCAGTGCGGTGCTGGCCGTAGGCGGGGTACGCTGGGCACGCTTGACTGCCCATCAGTCCGAAAATCCCCCCTCTGTCTCGCTGCCTGCCTCTTCTATATCCGCGGCCTTAACTGCAGGTACCAGTAAGGCACACTGCCCTCCTGAGTCTCCAGTACCCAGCTCGAGACGGAATGGTGGCACCATTGGTACCAGTGGTACAAA